ATTAAAGTTGGTTTAAGCAACAGATACAAGCAAGGAAATTGACCGAATGTTTCTCTTACAACACAGAAAACGACGTTATTACCCTGACAATAGTTTTCAGGGTCACTCAAAATAACTCTAAGACACGCTTAAACTCTGTCGGGCGCAGAAAATCTAATCTTTTGATCCTTTGTTACTGGCGGTTTCCCAATATTGGAAAAATCCATAAAAATAGAAAAATATACAAAAAGATAAATTCAATCATGCCCTAACATGACTTGAAATTCGTTGTTCTAATTTCATGGATCTATTGAATAGATGTTCCGTCAATTGTAAAAAATTATTTACTTGTTATCAGTGCTAAGGATCCATTTAAATTTGATGCGGATCAGAATCCGGATCCTGGATCCGCATTGAAAAAAAATGGATCCTGATCTGGGTCATTTCTTTAAGATTTACTGAATTTTTTTAACAAAAAATAATTTTCAAATTTTTGGTTTTATTTTTTTCGCTTATTTTTATCCTAATACTTGATGAAGCATTTAGAAATGAGGAAATTTCTATAATCTCTCTTTTTTTCAAAAGTTTAGATTTGGGTTTCAGGAGTAAAAAGTTTTTTTTTGTAGTTTTTGGTTGATATTTTACCCCTTAGATCCGGATCCGCATATTTTTGCGGAAACGGACCCGGATCCAGGAAGCCAAAATCTTTTAGATCAAACGGATCCGGATCCTAAGCACTGCTTTTAAAGTGAAAACCTGACCTTGGAAGAAAATGACGAAGACGGATTTGATGACCTCATCTCCAGTATGAGGATCCTCCAGAGGATTTTCTATCTCTGCAACACGGAGGAACACGTTTCCACGGCACGCTCTCCACAACATCTTCTCGAAGGCCGGAAGTCGTTCCCTGAGAATAACTCCGGCCACGAACCCTAGTTGAAGACCTCCTCCTGCTCCACCTTCGTCCTGAACACGAGATCGTTTCCCTCCTTGTCCTACTAGTTTATTACCAGCAAACATTTTACCCTCAGATTCTGATTTTAGTTGAATTCCTTTGTTTCCATCCGGACCAATCGTCTTCATTTTATGTGTTCTTCCTTTATTTAGTTTTCCCCCTTTCTGTGTTCCCTTTACCATTATTTTATAGTCATCTTCAATCATCTTTTTCAAACATGCAATAAAAAATTAAAAACAAGGAAAAAATAAATAAAAATGTACTGGTCCTGAGCTAGGTTGTTTCTGACCTGAATAAGCTGAGTATGCTGACCAATCTGTCCTCCCTGTTCTAAACTCTCCTGTTCGTCGAAGAACTGTTGAGTTTTCCGAAGGATATGTTTTAGTTCAGTAAACTCGAGGAAATTTTTCTTTAAAGCTTCAGCATTTTGGTTCACCTCTCTAAACAAGGAATTTTACCTACCTTGCTATACTTAGTATCTAAGTTTATTACTTGGTATATACCCACCGTTATAAATTCACCATTACCATATTTTTTCTAATTTTTATAACTATCTTTCAATCAAGACTACTAATTGGTAATCTAGGTTGTAAATTACATTTCCAATTTAAAAATTACATTACCAATTTACAACCTAGATTACCAATTTACAACCTAGATTACCAATTTACAACCTATATTACCAATTTAAAAATTACATTACCAATTTAAAACAAAGATTACCAATTTACAACCTAGATCACCAATTTAAATCAAAGATTACCAATTTACAACCTAAATTACAAATTTACAACCTAGATTACAATTGTACAACCTAGATTACAATCTGACTATCAATTTACAACCTAGACTACCGATTTACAACCTAGATTACCGATTTACAGCCTAGATTACCAATTAACAACAACCTAGATTACCAATTTACAACCTAGATTACCAATTTACAGCCTAGATTACCAATTTACAGCCGAGACTACCAATTTACAACCTAGACTACCGATTTACAACTTGGATTACCAATTTACAACCTAGATTATGAATTTACAAGATACATTACCAATTTTCAACCTAGACTATAAATTTACAACCTACATTATCAATTTACTCTCTAAATTAATAATTTACTCTGTATCCAGAATTCTGATTAAATACTTGTGTGAATGTTTTCAATTAAATGCATGTATTTACGGAGATATTTTACAAAACTTTTAAAGTTTGGATAAATTAATAAAAGTAAATTGAATTTTAATTTGGATTTTAAATGCACTCTAGGGAAATAGGGACTTTTAAAGTTTGGATAAATTAATAAAAGTAAATTGAATTTTAATTTGGATTTTAAATGCACTCTAGGGAAATAGGGAAATAGGGAAATGAAAGAAAATGGTTAATATCTTACCTAAGCTCGTTCTCTAGTTTTTCATAAGTAGCTTCTAGATCGATCATTTCCCTGGGTTGCGGGGCCTCCGGCGGTTCTCCAGTATCCATCATTGGAATACTATCCTTTTTAATCTCCTTCTCCAGATACCGGAGTTTACGTTCCATCTCGTCACACCGCCGAACCTAACATGTAGATTCTTTAACACAGGATAAACACAACATCAAATAAAGATTTATTACATTGTATTCGGAATGTCTTAAATCGATGAACAGATAATTTCCTTCCGAGGAAAATATTTTCTTGAAAATCTCCCCCCTTTCCCCTTGTAAAAATTGATGATTTGAAGAAGAAATTACTTTGAACAAATTATCATAAAGAGGTCTAATGAGGGCAAGTTGACGTCACATGACCCCCCCCCCCTCACAACCCTTCAATGAGGAAAAGGATTATAAATATTAACTATCTCATTTACAAATTTTCTTTGGAAAGCATTTGTTTCTGGGTTGAGATCTCTGAACTGTACTAAACCTAGTTCTCCTAGCTCCGATACACAACCATAAGCTGCCTCGGACTGGAGGAAGAGCTGGCAGAGCGCCATCTCCTCACTACGGAACAAGGATCCTCCTCCTGTAGAGGCTAGAGGTGCTGAACCCTCCTGCATTGAATACTTCCTTGTATGTCGAACACTTGAACCTAATAAAGACATGCCTTCAGCTTGATCGTCTACCTCGTCAATATCAAGATTTCTTCGACGATCCTTTCGTTTGTTTCTAAACGATCGCATCACGCGCAGATGTGTCAGAATTGCCGCGTGATTCAGATATTGTGAAAGTGACATTTGTTGACGTTTCAAGAATGAAATCAACTAATCAATTTCAAACATCTTATCTTTACTAGATAGACTAGATTCACTTGATAAACTATATACAGGGTGTCCCACGAAACATGACAATAGCAAGACGAATTGAAAGTCGTCTTTGATATTTGAATTTATTTGTGACGTTTAGTCTTCTATCTACTTTAACATGTCTGATTCTTGAAACAATTATCAGTCACATAATTCTCCTAGCCCTGGCATTTCGAAAAAGTGGTCTGCGTTTTTTGTGCTTTCAATATTGCCGGAGATATAAAGAGTTTGGTTCAGATTTCAATTTTGTTAAATAAAAGCAAAATTGTCGAAATCTGAACGAAATTCTTCATATCTCGGGCAATATTGAAAGCACAAAAAAGGCAGACCACATTTTGGAAATGGCAGGACTAGGGGTATTTTGTTATTATTGTCTCTAGAAATTTACTTCTAAAATTAGGTTGACAAATAAACGCAGCTAATTATATCAAAAATCAAGACGACATTCAAGTCGTCTTGCATACTGTCATGTTTCGTGGGACACCCTGTACGTATTTGTTTATGTTTAACAATGATAGCTTTAAATAATAACTTTTAAAAGTATGGTATGAATAGTTTTGTAAGTAATACAAAATTACATCTTCTGACATTTTATTTAAGGTTTTTGATTTATATTGTAATTTTAATCACGAATAAACTATTTTCATTAATTCATGTTCGGAAAGCAGTACAAGAATTTAAAATACCTATCTTGATCATCTAGACAGATAAATGTTTCATTTCATGGTATTTTTAAGAAGGACCGTAAAAATTATAAAGAATAATATATACTATCATGTCTTACAATTACATTTGATGTATTTAATGTGAGTTATACGTTTTCCTTACCTGCGATCTACTCTATGCAGAACGTAGGGTTGCTTGCAGTAGGAGAAGAATAATAATTCTCACATGATATCGATTCAAGAGAGAGGATCAGGTTACACTTTCTTCTCCTCCTTTCCTGGACTTTCACCAACTTTCTTTTTATACAGAACCATTATAATGGTTTTATAGCCGTATTAAGATAATAATACAGAACACAGCTCATCTTTATCATTATAGAGAACATGGACGTAAGCAGATATTTGTCCAGGGGGGTAGGGGGGGGGGAACTCATTAATATATGTAACTCCCATCGGGCTTGGGAAGGTTGCCCCCCTTGGGAGCGAAATTCTCCTTATGAAGCGTGGTTTCCACTTTTACCTTTACAATAATTATTTATTTGTAAATAGTTATAAACTAACAAGAAATAAAGAGCATATAATTGTCACTTGTGGAATATTCGTTTTATCCAAATAAATTGGTTTATGTAATTTGTAATAATTTACAAGAAGTCTTTTTGATATTGAGAGAATTATACTTCTAAGACTAAGAAGTCCCAACAAGTATTGAAGAACATTCGAGTATCTTAAATTCTTAATATTACATATCACATTCACGAGCTGGCGAATAGATGGGGTTTTTTTATGATAATATTTGCCAGTTTAAATTAAAAAAAAGCTTTTAGGGGAGCGGAATCTTCAGAAAATATATCTATCAATTAAATGTATTTTAAAAATCTACAAAACCCTACGTACCTTTATAAATGGGACTATCTTTCAAGAAAAGTAATGAAACAGTTTTTTTTTGTAAATTTATAATCTTAAAACTGAAATATATTAACGATAATTTTTATATAAAGTGTGCTTGGACTGGAAGAAAGACATGTTTCTTAGTAATGCACTTTTTTCAACAATAACAAGAAATCCTTTTTATTGTCAAAATCTTGTTAAAATGATATTTGTATATTGTTTGAAATTTTAATCAAGATCTGTAAACTAAATATGAAACTATTCAGCTGGTTACCCACCAAGGATGAGAATTGAATGACAACCTTAAACTATGAAATTGTAACGATCTAACAACTAGACCAGATCATTTGTCTTCAATATAGTTTTTAATGGGATTATAAATAATTTGATAAAGAGAAAATCAGGTGCACTTCAGTGATCCCTGAAGGAAAAAAATTCAACGAAAAAAAATCCGTACATTCGTCTCTGAATTCAGTTTTGAAGTATCCTGCAAGTGGGCAACCCCTATAAGTATCCGTAAAAAAACTTTTATATTCCTAGGACCTAGATTACTAATGTCTAGATGCATTACAAGGACGTCCACAGGAATATTTCTACATTTTATTATTTTTTAATTCACAAGAGTAAAAAAGGTCTACAAACATAATCCATGACTGTTTAACGTAGGTATGGCTGAATTAAAACCTTTTGAAAAGTAATAAGAAAACCCCTAACTGATCCAGTCTAATATCAGACCAATAATGTCTTCAGTGGTATGACAGGGAGAGATTAAGTATGCAAATGTTCCAGATAATAAAAAAGAGAAATCAATCTAAATTTTGTTGGTAAGAAAAGGTCTAAGGTTTTTTGCTGGAAATATAATAGTTGTTCCTTGCAGATAAAGTAAAATATTAAAAACAAAAACTATTCAAATATGAACGTAAGATACAAGCAACTGCGTTGAAAAAAACGTTTCATCCGTTTTTTAAAAGCCCAATTTTAAAAACATTTTGAATGGATAATGAATAAATTCTCCCTGAAAATGAAAATATCACAATTTAAAAATGTTCATGAAAAAAGTACAAAATAAGAATTATCATAACAAAGAATCACAATATATGACAAATTAAAAAAAATATCATACATAGATAAATCAGATGATAATCGAATGTAAAGTTTGTTTTTTACAACATAAGAATTTTTAAGTAATTCTGGCGCCATATTCTTTCAAAACAAAAATCTGCAAATGAAGAATTCTGCATTTCTAGAAATACTCTAATGAATTTTAGAAAATACATAAATCACCAGTTCCATAGTTTAAATATCTAATTTTATTTATTAGGGGTTCTGCATTCTGAGGTTTATACAGACTTCAGAAAGGCTAGGAATGGCAAAACATCGAGCGAAAAAAATATAATTCAAAGGATAGAAAACGGTATCATGAAAATGGTAAAATAATGATTGCGCAAAGGATATCAGGATAAAAAATTATTATCTAAGGATATTAGAATAAACCAATTATCATGCCAAGGATAAAAATGTTAAAAGAATTATTGTTCATAGGTTATAAGGATTAAAAAATTATCATGAAAATGTTAAAACAATGCCTTTTAAAGGATATCAGGATAAAAGGAAATCAGGATAAAAGGATGATTGTGTAAAGGAAAACAGGAGAAAAGGATGATTGTGCAAAGGAAAACAGGATAAATGAATGATTGTGCAAAGGAAAACAGGAGAAAAGGATGATTGTGCTAAGGAAAACAGGATAAAAGAATGATTGTGCAAAGGAAAACAGGAGAAAAGAATGATTGTGCTAAGGAAAACAGGATAAAAGAATGATTGTGCAAAGGAAAACAGGAGTAAAAGAATGATTGTGCAAAGGAAAACAGGAGAAAAGAATGATTGTACAAAGGATAACAGGTTAAAACATATTGTGCAAAGAATAACAGGATAAAAGAGAATGAACGTGCAATGGATATCAGGATGAAACAATGAACTTCCGATGGATTTCGGATAAAACAATGAACTTGCAATAGATATTAGGATTAAAAAAATGAACGTGAAATGGATATCAGGATAAAAGAATGAAAGTGCAAAGGATATCAGGATAAAAGAATGAACTTGAAATATATATCAGGATATAAGAATGAACTTGAAATAGATATCAGGGTAAAAGAATGACCTTGCAATGTATATCAGGATAAAATAATGAACTTGCAATGGATATCAGGATAAAAGAACGATAGTGCAAAGGGTATCAGGATAAAAGAATGAACGTGCAATGGATTTCACAGGATTAAATAAAGAATGTGCAAAGGATATCAGGATAAAAGAATAAACGTGCAATGGATATAAGGATTAAAGAAAGAATGTGCAAAGGATATCAGGATAAAAGAATAAACGTGCAATGGATATAAGGATAAAAGAAAGAATGTGCAAAGGATATCAGGATAAAAGAATAAACGTGCAATAGATATAAGTTAATAGAATGAGCGTGCAATGGATATCAGAGGATAAAAGAATGAACGTAAAATATACACCGTATGCAGTGTACACTGTACATCCCCCACATTGCTCTGAACATATGTACATAAATGTAAACATTAAGCCATTTGTCCTAAACTGTAAAATAGTTGTACTACATGTTCACAAGTACAGTGTACAGCACTAACTGTAGATATTGAATGCATGCTTATATGTAAATCTAAATACAAAATATGTATGTAAAGCTGTAGATATTGAATACATGTTTATCTGTAAATCTAAATACAAAATATGTATGTAAAGCTGTATATATTAAATGCATGTTTATCTGTAAATCTAAATACAAAATATGTATGTAAAGCTGAAAAGTTTGAAGGGCATGATGCGGCAAAATAAATTTAGTTAATTGGAGGGAAAGAGAGTCTTCTCAGAATATTTATCAAGTAATACAGATAATATCAAACTTTAAGTTTTATTCAACTTTATCTATTTTTCACTCTCAACTTTATCTGACCCTCAGATTTAATCTGATCCATTCTGATCCAATGCTTGTAATTCTCATCCAACTTGTAATCCAACCTTATTAATCCAACCTTATTAATCCAACCTTATTAATCAAACTTTATTAATCCAACCTTATTAATCCAANCCTGTTTATCTCCAATTACCCTGGTCTGGTATCCCTGTATATCTCCTATTATTCTGGTCTGGTATATCTCCTATCACATTGGTCTGGTATCCAT